AAGTGGACATTACATTGTCTACATAGTTGAAGATTATCTTGAACTTCAATTCTTGCCTCCATCTTCTGCATGCTAGGAATTACAGGTATGCACCACCACATCTGGCTTTATGCAGTGCTAGGGAGCAAACCCAGGGCTTCATGTTTGCTAGGCAGTACACTCTACCTACTGAGCCAGATCCCTAGCCCCAAGACTCATAGTTTTAAATCAGACTAGCTCAGAGGAGTCATTTACAAACACTTTAGTTGTCAAAGCACAGCTTTTAGTACAAAGTAATGTCCACTTCTCATAGATGCTATAGTACACAGATGTGTGGTGGGGGATGACTGCTGAGGAGTGGAGGTGCCCAGCAGACCTGGGACCATGGGTCCTCAGCCCTCATCTTCCTTGGAATCCTTGTTAGCCCGTCTGCGGACCTTTCCTGGCCCAGGGCAGATCAGTTGTCCTGGGGAGGCGGGGGCAAGGTTCACACAGCCAGGCCCTCGGGGCAGCTGGTGGCTCTCGTTGAGTCTGAGGACTCGGTAGTTCTCATAGTGGATGTTGTGGGTGATGTCCTTCAGGTCCTGGAGGTGAGAGCTAAATGACAGGAGGCAGGTCAGCCCTGGCCACCAAGGTCCCAGAGCCCCCTTTTCATCCAGCCCATCACAGGGTGTCCCACACCTCACCGGATAAGCAGGTCTCGCAGGAGAAGAAACTCACAATGTGCCATGTTCTCCACTGCAAGACACAGGGCCTAGCATACTCTGCGCTCTCAGCGAGTACAGAGTAGATACCTGCTGTCTATGTATGCTGTAGCACCTCCTGAGACCTGCCATTACTCTTTGCCTACTGTCTTTGTTTGCTTATTTTTCTTTTCTTTCTTTCTCTTTTTTTTTTTTTTTTTTTTTTTTTTTTTTTTTGAGACAGGGTCTGCCTGTAGGTCCAGCTGGTCTGGAACTGGCTATGTAGACCTGGCTGGCCTCAATCTCACAGAGATCCATCTGCCTCTGCCTCCTGAGTGCTGGAATTAAAGATGTGTGCCACCGTGCTCAGCTCCTACTCTCTTATATACCCTCCTCTTCCTCAATTCATGTATGCATTCATTCATTCACTCATTTTTTTTTGGTCTTTTTGAGATAGGGTCTCCCTGTATCCCCAGCTGGCCTAGAACTTGCTATGTAGACCAGGCTGGCCTCAAACTCACAGAGATCCACCTGCCTCTGCCTCTCAAGTGCTGGGACTACAGGCATGTACCACCACGCCCAGCTTCATTCATTCATTTTTATATCCCCAGGGCCTGGTACAGTGACTCCTACAAACAGCTGTTAAACCAGTGAACCCACCCACCATTTTAGATAAAACTGTATACATTAAAGCTGGGCGTAGTGGTGCATGCCTTTAATCCCAGCAGAGGCAGATGGATCTCTGAGTTCAAGGCCAGTTTAGTCTACATAGTGAGTTCCAGGACAGCTGGGGCTACAGGGAGACCCTGTCTCAAAAAGACCAAAATAATAAAAAAAAAACTGTGTACATTATACCACAGATAATATTCATATATTCTCTGTTTTTTTGAGTCATGGTCTCATGTAATCCAGGTTGGCCTCAAAATTGCTATGTAATAAGGATGAACTTGAATACCTGATTCTCCTGCCTCCAACTCTCCACTGCTGGGGTTACAGATGTGTCATCATACTTGGCTATATATTATTAATAATAATAATAAAATAATAA